CATTTACTTCAATGAGTCAAGATTGGCAGGCAATCAACCGCGGGGTTTTAGCACCCCCCCCCATCCTCAACCTCATGTGTGAATGATCTCTAAGGGTGCCAAAGCCAAATACAACTAAGGGCTCATTCACAAGTGCAGTACAGGCGCTGCTGCTCCTCTAAAAGCGATCAGAGCATGTTTGGCAGGTGGTAAGGAAACGATAAGTGAAATAGATTTTAACCACTTTAAGTCCGGACACTTTCACCCCCTTCCAGTCCAGGCCAATTTTCAGCTTTCAGTGCTATCACACTTTGAAAGATAATTGCGCGGTCATGCAACACAGTACCCATATGAATTTTTTAGCATTTTTTGGAGACAGATAAAACTTTATTTGGGTGGTATTAATCACCACTGGGATTTTTATTTTTTGCTAAATTAAATGAAAAAGTCCAAAAATTTTGAAAAAATGTGTTTTTCCTGTGATTGGTCACAGCTTGTCACATGGTACAAGGCTGTTGTGAATAGCCTTGTGCCATGTGACCTCTGTTATCATTCACAGAATTCACAAGTAGTAAGCAATGATGTCAGGAAGTGACATCTTATTTACTACTATGCATGTGATCACTGATTGGCCAATCAGTGATCACATGAATCGGGACCTAACACAGAGGTCCCGTACAGCGATCGGTGTTCGGACACAGTGAGCACCGGATCGTGGTGCCACGCGCTCCCAGGGAGTGTGCACAGGTAGTGAATGCAGGTGACATTTAGAAACGTCAACCTGCTCCGGCTCTGCTCCAGTCTGGCCGTTTATGTACGTGGGCCGGACGGAAAGTGGTTAAATTAGACGGTGAGGGGGGGAACTTTGTGTCCGGATATCTTTGATTTCTCCCATGGTGTTCAGGTAGATCCCCACCTCTCTAAAGTTGCCTATCCCTGGTGTTGATTATTTGGTAGACCCAGTTTCAAAACTTTTTTTTGCTTTCAGGCAGTCCCACCAAATGTGCCTTAGCCCTGGATCACACTGAATATGACTTTGAAATCGCACTACTTCACTTGAAGCAGCGCCATTTTAAAACCACAGGTCAGTACAGAGATGTTCAATTCATATCGACCGCGCAGGGCAGGTATTTTTTTTTTTCTTTCTTAGCTTTAGCCCTGCTGCGGGCAAGCAGCAGGGCTCACCTGTCAGGTGGAAGCATTCGGAAGGCAGCGCTGCCGCCCAAATGTTTCCACACAGCCCACTGTGTTACCAGCCCCATCTGCTCCCCTTCTTGTCCTGACCCGGAAGTGATGTGACGTCATGTCCTGGTCCCCGTTGACAAAGCATGTAATGCAGTTCGATGTGCACTGCATTATTAGATCTAGTCTTTTAGATCCTGGATGTCTCGAAAAACAGAAACTGTCACCAAAAATCACCACATAGGGGAGTTTTTGTCCCCTATGTGATGAAAAAAAAAAAACTGTTTTTTTTTCTATTTTTAAAAAATTAAAGAGGCCCAAACATTTAAATCCCCAAAAATGTTTCAAGGCCCCCCACCCCAACATATGTACGCATGTACAAACGTAAAAGCATGCTCTGGGGCGCCTGCGTATGAAAACAACAATTGCGATACACGTGTTACATATCACCGCACACAACAGAATGAGAGCAATAATTCTAGCACCAACCTCCTCCGTAACGCTAAACTGATAACCTGTCAGGGGCTTTAATAGCGTCGCCTATAGAAAATATAGAGTACTAAAGTTTGTTGCCATTTCACAAGCGCACGCAAATTTAAGGTTTCATATGGTGGATATCTATTTGCTCCATGCAACCTCGCCTTTCATATTTTACAAAAAAAATTGGATAATTTATTGCTTTGTGTGCCCTAAAATTAACTTAAGTTTTTTTTTATGAAATGTTGCGTTTCCAAGACCTTTGTGATAATATCGTGTAACATAAAAAATTGGAACTACCGCTATTTTATTCTCTAGGGTCTGTGATTACATAAAACTCCAAAACATTATATATTTTCTGAAATCTTCAGGCCTTAAATAATTTTTTAAATATGTGCAAAAAATCCAAAAACTGCTCTGGCAGCAAAAGAGATAAAGGATAAGCCGGACACTCACCTTTCCTGACAAGCACCCAATCAGTGCTCATTACACTGCAAGGTCTTTACCCTCCCTGATAGCCCCCGGGTGCTGGGGACAGGCAGGGAGGGGAGGAGGAGTTGTACAGTGCAATGTTAAAAATATTAAATGTTTAGGTCGCCATAGAGCCCCTTTTGTTTTTAAAAGCCCCAGACATTACTTAAAGCACCTCAGATTTAAATATAGTTTGGTTAAAAATGTGTTTTTTTTTTTTTTTTTTTTTTTTAATCAGGACAATTAGATTGGGGCACCGATTTTGTCCTTTGGACAAGTAGTTTTTTCAAAAATTTCCACACCCTTGCAGTACGAACTTTGGTGTGACCTGCCTCACATCTGTGTGACTTCATGCACAGATGTCTATGCAAGTCATACCTGAAATTGTCAAAAATAGCACAGGAACTATTTTCAAAATTGGTGCGACTCCGATGAAGTCGCACAGATTTCAACAGTCCCATTGCCAAGAATAGGGTGCGACTTGTCATTCGATTTGGAACTGTCAAATCGCATGACAAGTTGCGATCTGTGATGTATACAGTTTTTATTTGATACACTGTTTTAATAATACTCTGTTTTATTATTATAGGCCAGTGATGGCGAACCTTTTAGAGACTGAGTGCCCAAACTGCAACCCAAATCCCACTTATTTATCGCAAAGTGCCAACACTGCAATTTAACCTTGAATATACCAGCAGCGCAAGGGGGCAATGTTTGCACTGACCACCAGCGCAAGGGGCAGCACTGCAAGGGGGCAATGTTCCACTGACCACCAGCGCAAGGGGGCAATGTTCCACTGACCACCAGCGCAAGGGGCAATGTTCCACTGACCACCAGCGCAAGGGGGCAATGTTCCACTGACCACCAGCGCAAGGGGGCAATGTTCCACTGACCACCAGCGCAAGCGGGGGCAATGTTCCACTGACCACCAGCGCAAGGGGGCAATGTTCCACTGACCACCAGCGCAAGGGGGCAATGTTCCACTGACCACCAGCGCAAGGGGGCAATGTTTCCACTGACCACCAGCGCAAGGGGGCAATGTTCCACTGACCACCAGCGCAAGGGGGCAATGTTCCACTGACCACCAGCGCAAGGGGGCAATGTTCCACTGACCACCAGCGCAAGGGGGCAATGTTCCACTGACCACCAGCGCAAGGGGGCAATGTTCCACTGACCACCAGCGCAAGGGGGCAATGTTTCCCACTGACCACCAGCGCAAGGGGGCAATGTTCCAGTGACCACTAGCGCAAGAGGGCAAAGGCTTTTTTTTTTTTTTTTGTGTGAATGAAGTCTGCCCCCTGAATGTGATTACTGTGTAATAGCTGAAAGAGTGATCACATGATCGAGAACCACTCTGAATGACCGTATCAGAGCTGTCGGTCAGGCCTGAGTGCTAACAGCACTGAATGCTAACAGCACTGAACCGTGTTGAGCTTGTAGCATTACAGATTATCTTTCTTTTGCTCCATGCCATGCCATTCAGCGCTGAGAGGAGAGAAAGACAAACGTGTAAAATCTGGGTTGCTCTAGCCCAGTGTTTCTCAACTCCAGTCCTCATGGACCCCCAACAGGTCATGTTTTCAGGATTTCCATTATTTTGCACAGGTGATTTGATCAGTTTCACTGCCTTAGTAATTACCACAGCCGTTTCATCTGAGGGAAATCCTGAAAACATGACCTGTTGGGGGTCCATGAGGACTGGAGTTGAGAAACACTGCTCTAGCCCAAGCTTACACAGGGCCGAGGACTATACTTATTCCTAAGTGATAGCACTGGGCTGATTTTCTGAAATACTAAGCTGTGCTTCAGGTTCCTGTGCCACAAATCAGTTTGGGTATTTTGTTTATTCACTAGGAACTACTTCAAAGAAATTGACTCTCCATGTAGCTAAGAAGAAAAAAAAATGTATGTCTGATTTACTTTTACATTTGCATTGCCAGAAAAATAACTGTCAAAAAAACTGTCAACTAACGTACGCAGGTTTTTCTAGTATTTCCAGTATATCTGCTTCTGCCTGTTTTATTTCAGTTTTCCGTTTTTTTTTTTTTTCTCTTTTTTTTTTTTTTTTTTTAACTGGATTCTTTATCTGATGTCAGTGTTATCAACCTTCCCTATTAACGTATGTTCAGCATTTATTGATCTTGTAACATTCTTTGAACTTCTGTGAGTTTAATTTTCTTCCGCGTGATAATGCATCACTGCCTGCCTGGATTTTGGAGAAAAGTCTTGCAGTAAATAATTCAAAACATTGGTGATGTGCCAAAATCTTGCACAAAATACTCTGGTAACTGAAAAGAAATATATGTACAAAACTCTCCAGCACTCATAAGCATGGTCGCATCTACATGTCAAATGATAATCTCCACAGTAATCTATAACTGGAATGCTTCACTGATGCAGTCCTCCTCAGACAGGGGAATCTTGACAGAAAACTGTAATACAAAGAGGAGGGCACAAGCGCCTAGTGCATTACCAATGACCTTTTTTGAAACCAAATGCCAAAAACATACAGATGTGTTAGAACGCAATCAAACCACACCAAAATATTCAGATCTAGCAGTAGGGCTGTACCACCTGACCCAAACGGTCTCAAATTGAATTTGAAGGCTTGCGCTTTTTGGGGGGCACTCCTACTGTTCTGTTTAGCTCTGAAGAAGGGGGAGCTTCACCTAAACCCCGTAAGCCTGCCATTTCAAGAGACTGTTTGGGCCGGGTGGCACCACCCTACTACTGGATCTGAATTTAGTAGCGTTGTTTGCTTACATTCTAATATGTTCTCTGTATGCTACAGATAATGTTATATGTATGGTTTTGGCAGTCTTCTGCAAATCATTGTATTTATTGTCCCAGTGAGACATTTCTTACAACATTGTGTTTTTCCTTGCTTGTAGGTCTGTCCAGATAGCACAATGACATCCCATCTGAAGTATATCTCTTTAGGCATCCTGGTGTTTCAGACTACCAGCCTGGTTCTCACTATGCGCTACTCCCGCACGCTTAAGGAGGAGGGTCCCCGGTACTTGTCTTCTACTGCTGTAGTGGCTGCTGAGCTGCTGAAGATTGTAGCATGCATCTTTTTGGTCTACAAGGACAACAGTAAGACCACTGATTCATCCTTTTTTTTTTTTTTTTTTCTTTTCATATATACCGTATTTTTGGCTCCATAAGATGCACCTGACCATAAGACGCGCATAGGTTTTAGAGGAGAAAAGCAAGAAAAAAAAATATGGACTGCAGACATAGTACAGGAGATGACCAGAGACTGCGGACACAGTACAGGAGATGACCAGAGACTGCGGACACAGTACAGGAGATGACCAGAGACTGCGGACACAGTACAGGAGATGACCAGAGACTGCGGACATAGTACAGGAGATGACCAGAGACTGCGGACACAGTACAGGAGATGACCAGAGACTGCGGACACAGTACAGGAGATGACCAGAGACTGCGGACATAGTACAGGAGATGACCAGAGACTGCGGACATAGTACAGGAGATGACCAGAGACTGTGGACACAGTACAGGAGATGACCAGAGACTGCGGACACAGTACAGGAGATAACCAGAGACTGTGGACACAGTACAGGGGATGACCAGAGACTGCGGACACAGTACAGGGGATGACCAGAGACTGCGGACACAGTACAGGGGATGACCAGAGACTGCGGACACAGTACAGGAGATGACCAGAGACTGCGGACACAGTACAGGAGATGACCAGAGACTGCGGACACAGTACAGGAGATGACCAGAGACTGCGGACACAGTACAGGAGATGACCAGAGACTGCGGACACAGTACAGGAGAGACCAGAGACTGCGGACACAGTACAGGAGATGACCAGAGACTGCGGACACAGACAGGAGATGACCAGAGACTGCGGACACAGTACAGGGGATGACCAAGAGACTGCAGACAGTACAGGGGATGACCAAGAGACTGCAGACAGTACAGAGGATGACCAAGAGACTGTAGACAGTACAGGGGATGACCAGAGACTGCGGACCTTTAGGGAGGGAGGGGGAGCGGGTACTAGAATTTGACAGGTACCCGCTCCCACTTCCGCGTAGGTGTGCTCCCTGTACTGTGGCACCTGGCTGTGACAGCCGGGTGCCCACTGCACATGCGCGAGAAGCACTGCACTTTGTGAATGGCCCGGCATCTTCTGGGACCTGTCATGTGTCCCAGAAGACGCCGGACCATTCACAAAGCGCAGCACTTCTCACGCATGCGCAGTGGACACCTGTCTGTCACAGATGCTGGCGCGGGAAGACTGCGCAGCGCTGGACCGAGGAACAGGTAAGGTCCTGCATCAGAGAACAGCTGAGCGGCCGGCCTGGTATTCTGACATGGTGGCGGCGGAAATACCGGACCGGCCGCTTTATTTTCGCTCCATAAGATGCACTGACATTTCCCCCCCCCCCCCCCCCTGTTTGGGGGGAAAAAAGTGCGTCTTATGGAGCGAAAAATACAATACTTTTTTGGAGTTTTCCACATAATATGATAGAACAAAAAGCTAATGATTAGAATACATAGACAAAGACATGACAATAACATACAGTATCAGGGAGGAATCTCTTCCCCACAGAGTTCCACTAAAGCTTCAGAAATTCTTGGGATCCATTGCCTTCATCCTTTCTTTGGTGAGGTGGTACACCTTCATCCTTTCTAGACGTTTGATGCCCATCTCCGAGCAGATAAAAAAAAGATCCCTTCCTGTTGGGCTGTGCCTGCATTGCAAAGGTTAATTTCTCATTGTGTCTAGGGGACTCTGGTGGGTGGCACTCCCCTGCGATCAGGTGGTTGACTTTCACTCTGTGTCTTCATGCCCAGTGCAGGGCTATGGACCCTGCTGTGGTCTGATGACTTTAGGACTCTAGACCGGTGGAGTGTGGAGGTGCAGAAGCTGTAGGAATTAGTCTAGCTGCAGGGAGGAGCACGGTAATAAAATCTCCTTTTAAGGATAGATTCACACACAGTGCACACTCCCACTGCAAGACAAGATGCCTTAAATCCATTTTGACCAGTTCACAACACTGTGTTGCAGTGGTGTGGGCTGAAAAAAGTGTGGCCTGCCTTACTTTAACCACCTCCTGCCTGCCATATAGTAATATGACGGACGCAAGCTGCCTCTCTCGTTCTGGGAGGACGTCATATGACGTCCTCCCATTCTTACCGCGAAGGTGTGGCTCCCGGAGCGCGCGGCGCTCCGCGGCGCGCTGTGTCCCTGGGACACAGTGGATCACCGATCCACGGAAAGAGCCAAAGATGTCGGCTCGGTCATGTGATCAGCTGTGTCCAATCACAGCTGATCACATGTAAACCGGGAAATGCCAGTTATCGGCATTTCTCTCTTCTCGAGCTGTCACGCTGACAGCTCGAGAGGAGAGCCAGTAATCGGCATTCTGCGGAGGGGACATGTACACAGATCTTCAGAGCACTGATGATCAGTGTGCCCTGATGATCAGTGTAGCCCCAGCAATGCCACCTGTCAGTGTCCATCAGTGCCAGCAGTCAGTGCTCAACAGTGCCACATCAATGCCATATATCAGTGCCTACCAGTGCACATCAATGCCACATATCAGTGCCCATCTGAGCTGCCTTTCCGTGTCACCCATCAGTGCCAGTCAGTGCCACCTATCAATGCCAATCAGTGCTGCCAGTCAGTCAGTGCTTTTTATCAGTGCCAGTCAGTGCCGCCTAACAGTGCCAGTCAGTGCCGCCTATCAGTGCCATATATCAGTGATGCCTGTCAATGCTCACCAGTGCCACCTACAAGTGTCTCATCAGTGCCACCTATCAGTGCAGCCTATCAGTGCCCATCACTGCAGCCTCATTAGCACACATCAGTGAAGGAGTAAAATCACTTATTTACAAAATTTTATAACAAAAACTAAAAATTTTTTTTTCTAAATTTTCAGTGGTTCTTGGTTTGTTTAGGAAAAAATAAAAAACCCAGTGGTGATTAAATACCACCAAAATAAAGTTCTATCTGTCACAAAAAATGATAAAAATTTCATATGGGAACAGTGCTGCATGACCGCGCAATTGTCATTCAAAGTGCAACAGCGCTGAAAGCTGGAAATTGGCCTGGGCAGGAAGGGGGTGAAAGTGCCCAGTAGGCTTGTGGTTTAAGAAAAAAACGTCAACAATGCAATGTGCCAGGATTGATGAATCAGCACTGCCTTCACCACACACCATCAGCTGATGTGAATGGACCCTTACTGTTTCCCTAAGCATAAACGAGTAATTAATCCTTGCAGTGCTCCACTGCAAGGGATAATTTTTTTAATTTTTTTTTAAATCACGCCCTTAATTAATATGCACTGTTTAATCAGTGATTTTAGAGTATGTCAGTCATGAATAAGGCCAGTATGACTGAAACACTTTGACGTTTGTGGCTTTTTTTTTTTTTTTCTTTCCCCCTTTTTTGCAATCCCTGGTTGCAGGAAAGACAATCACATATACTTCAGCTTTCCTAGTCATGTGTTTTACTTCATGTCAGTTCCATGCCAGTTCTCCTGTTCCCCATGCAGACATCCATTTTTGGTTACTTCTCTCAAGGGCTTGATCAAATTTGTTAAACAAATATACACAAGGAATTTGCCATGTGGTAAGTAAAAGGCTGTAGACCTTGGAATACATGATTAGCTGCAAACACGTATAATGTAAACAAATGAGCATAGCCTTAAACAAATTGCCCTTAACCAATAGCAAAACAATGTCAACATTTAACGAGCAAGGGCTTGCAAATTATTACGTAGATTCCCTGACTGCGTGACTGCTGTAACGTGTCTTACCAGAACCTTTCACTTACAGAGACAAATAAAGGTTTGCTGACAACCTCTGATTGCTTTAACAATCCACAGATGTTTGCTGGAAAGGAGCATTATCATGGGCATGAATTACTATGACCTCTATGCCTGTGTAAAGGCACCTTTACAGTTTACATCTGTGATCGTCCTTTCGGTTTTTAATCCCAAAGGAAAAGGAATTGCTCCTTAAGTCTATTGTTCTATACAGTATGATATTAACTTGTGTGCATATTAAAAGAAAATCACCTCCATCAAGATACATTTTTTACATGTGTTGACTAGAGATAATGACAGGAACAGGTAGATTTGCTGAAACAAACAGCTGATATTGCCATGTGAAACCAGTTAGGGCACCCATTTTAGGGCACCCATAAGCTTGAGGTGACTTACAACCAGTTTAGGGAACGCTGGAAAGATTGTGGCACTATTAAGAGGAAACATAAGTATTATGAAAGCACACTCCAAAATTCTGTGTTTGCTAATCTACAATCCCCTCCCCTAAACAAGCAACTGTATTTGGATTAAACATAAAACACTCAGAAAAGACAGCGCTCACAGCTAAATTCATTTAATGCATAACCCTCTGGCTGCATGTAAATAAAATGCATATAAAATCAATAAAACCATGCACACTGTATATAGTACGGATAAACCTCAAATTAATTCAGTGGCCATTAAAACAAATAGTGCAGAATCATACATATATAACCTCTCTCAGTGATATGAATCACTGGTGCTTAACCACTTGAGCCCCAGAGGATTTACCCCCCCTTAATGACCAGGCCTTTTTTTGCTGTTTGGCGCTGCACTAATTCAAATGATAAATTGCGCGGTCATGCAATGCTGTACCCAAACAAATTTACGTCCTTTTTTTCACACAAATAGAGCTTTCTTTTGGTGGTATTTGATCACCTGTTCGCTTTTTATTTTTTGCGCTATAAACAAAAAAACCACAAAAATTTTGAAAAAAAAACAATATTTTCTACTTTCAGCTATAAAAAAATATATCGTAAACTCAAAGTTAGTCATAAATTTAGGCCAAAATGTATTCTGCTACATGTTTTTGGTAAAAAAAATCCCAATAAGTGTATATTGTTTTGCTTTGTGTGAAAGTTATAGCGTCTACAAACTATGGTATTTACTGTAATTTATGCCTTTTTTTGCTATACAGCGCTGCACTAACTCAAATGATAATTGCGCGGTCATGCAATGCTGCATCCAAACGAAAATTACGTCCTTTTTTTCACACAAAATAGAGCTTTCTTTTGGTGGTATTTGATCACCTGTGCGCTTTTTATTTTTTGCGCTATAAACAAAAAAAAACCACAAAAATTTGAAAAAAAACAATATTTCTACTTTCAGCTATAAAAAATATATCGTAAACTCAAAGTTAGTCATAAATTTAAGCCAAAATGTATTCTGCTACATGTTTTTGGTAAAAAAAATCCCGTGCATTAGCGGGCAAACTGGCGCTATCTAGGAGGGGCGCTAACACTATCGGAAGTCACCAGTGACACTAATACAGTGATCAGTAAAAATCTGTTCACTGTAATCAATGACACTGGTGACAGGGCAGTGAAGGGGTTAACTGGGGGGGGGGGGGTGATCAAGGGGTTAAATGGGATTTCTGGTGCACTAGCGGGCAAACTGGCGCTATCTGGGAGGGGCGCTAACACTATCGGAAGTCGCCAGCGACACTGATTACAGTGATCAGTAAAAATTGGTTCACTGATCAGTGACACTGGTGACAGGGCAGTGAAGGGTTAACTGGAGGGGGGGGGGGTGATCAAGGGGTTAAACGGGATTACTGGTGTACTGGCGGGCAATCTGGCGCTATCTGGGAGGGGCGCTAACACTATCGGAAGTCGCCAGCGACACTGATACAGTGATCAGTAAAAATCGGTTCACTGATCAGTGACACTGGTGACAGGGCAGTGAATGGGTTAACTGGGGGGGGGGAGATTAAGGGGTTAAATGGGATTACTGGTGTACTAGCGGGCAATCTGGCGCTATCTGGGAGGGGCGCTAACACTATCGGAAGTCGCCAGCGACACTGATACAGTGATCAGTAAAAATTGGTTCACTGATCAGTGACACTGGTGACAGGGCAGTGAAGGGGTTAACTGGGGGGGGGGGTGATCAAGGGGGGTTAAACGGGATTACTGGTGTACTGGCGGGCAAACTGGCCCTATCTGGGAGGGGCGCTAACACTATCGGAAGTCGCCAGCGACACTGATAGAGTGATCAGTAAAAATTGGTTCACTGATCAGTGACACTGGGTGACAGGCAGTGAAGGGTTTAACTGGAGGGGGGGGGGCGATCAAGGGGTTAAACGGGATTACTGGTGTACTGGCGGGCAATCTGGCGCTATCTGGGAGGGGCGCTAACTCTATCGGAAGTCGCCAGCGACACTGATACAGTGATTTGTAAAAATTGGTTCACTGATCAGTGACACTGGGTGACAGGGCAGTGAAGGGGTTAACTGGAGGGGGGGGCGATCAAGGGGTTTTAAACGGGATTACTGGTGTACTGGCTGGCAAACTGGCGCTATCTGGGAGGGGCGCTAACTCTATCGGAAGTCGCCAGCGACACTGATACAGTGATCAGTAAAAATTGGTTCACTGATCAGTGACACTGGGTGACAGGGCAGTGAAGGGGTTAACTGGAGGGGGGGGGGGCGATCAAGGGGTTAAACGGGGATTACTGGTGTACTGGCGGGCAATCTGGCGCTATCTGGGAGGGGCGCTAACTCTATCGGAAGTCGCCAGCGACACTGATCAGTAAAAATCGCTTCACTGATCAGTAACACTGGTGACAGGGCAGTGAAGGGTTAACTGGAGGGGGGGGGGGCGATCAGGGGGTTAAATGTGTCCTAGAGTGTTCTAACTGTAGTGTAGTGCTTGTGTACTCACTTTTTGGATGTCTTCTTTTCTGTCTGGAACGGAATGTGTCCAGGCAGAGAAGAATGACATCATATCCTGCCCTGTGTGTATCTCAACACAGGACAGGATAGGACAGGGACCGATCATGTGATTTCAGCCAGAAATCACTGGCTGAAATCTAATGATTGATCCCTCCTGGATCAAATAGTGTCACCCGCGGGTCGGCGGGAGCGCGCGCGCCCCCTGCCGGCGAAAGTGTCGGGAGCGCGGAACCCGTTTTAAAACGTGGTTTTGCGCTCCACTGCCGCCCTGCACACGTATATACACAGTGGCAGGGCGGCAAGCGGTTAATAAAATTCATATGAATCCAAAAAGTCCATAGCAATAATATTAGGGTGCATCTGAAACAGAAATGTGCCACAACGGGCATTAGGTGCTGAGTGCATTTCTGGTAGATCAACGGGAATTTTTCTGTATATATATAAAGAAAATGCAGCGCTGTGTGTGATGTTACTATATTTTTCTGTGCTCACAAACTCTTTAACCCCTTTAGTTACTGTGCTTGGAGTGTGCATTGAGCGCTGTCAGCACCGGAAACTGTTTATCTATAGATGCATATATGCGGTCACTCTACATTAAAGCCCACCCACTTAGAGGCTGCATTTATGCGTAAGGTTGGTGGGAAGTGATTAAAAGGGGAAAACAGGTAAATTTACATATATTGCAGAAATGTACTGCAGTTTGTTTTTCATTTGACTACAGTTCAGCTCTGTTACTGACGTGAGGCTGAGCTTGTACATTGAGCTGGGCATGCGCAGCTCACTGTACAATACTAAGAAGACTGTTGGCAGGCAGTAAAGGACCTTTTATTGCAGAAGAGACATTGAGGGAATTAAAAAAAAAAAAAAAAAAGTTGCTGTGTCACTTTTATGGCTTTAATCCCACTTGTTAATGTGACCTACAACAAAAACTACAGGTCCTGCTCAAGGATCCACCAGGCTTTCTTGCATGGCAAATCTCTAGGAGTGCCAACAATGACAGAGATCTTTCCAGCTCAAAACATTCAATAGGAAAAGGAAGTCCTAAAAGTTGCACATCACAACAGAACCCTGTGAAGAAGTATATGACATCCTCAGCCCGGGGTGAGACTGTCCTACACTTCCTCACAGGGTTTTGCCACGATGTACAACTTTTAGGACTTCATATCCCTTTTGTTAATGTGTTGCACCAAATTCAAGAAGCACCTGCGACACTTTCACAAAAGTGGAGTTAATTAAGACCAACTCCTTTTTGGTGTACATAAAAAGACCCTGGCACAGGCAGATTTTGTGAAAGTCTCGGTAGCATTCTAAAAGTGGTTCAGTACATCAAATTCATGTACTAGTTCCAGACAGGTTCATGAATTTGGCACACGCTGTGCCACTTATAGAACACATGTAAGACACTTTTACAGAATTTGTCTGTACAGCAGTCTTATAAATTCCAGGGATTGTCTGTTCTGCGATAAAAGGCTATCTGCCAGCAATTTTTAAATAAACCTTTAGTTCCACTTTAAATGTTTTTTGGGCTTTAATATCCTTTATAAGGACTTCACAGATTGGTGATCAGTGATATCTGCACATACCTTTTCATCAGACTTTTTCTGTATGGTAGAATAAGGAGAGGTAAAGATGCATAAAGTGAAGTAACAAATGTCGACAAACTGGACTGAAATATGTGAAAACCCTTTGAAGTTGCTTGTATCATTTGTTGATGTTGGTTTGTTTTGTAGGTTGTAATTTGAGAGCCTTGAATCGAGTCATTCATGATGAAATTATCAATAAACCCATGGAGACCCTAAAGCTTGCCATACCTTCTGGGATCTACACCCTGCAAAATAACCTTCTGTATGTTGCACTGTCAAATCTTGATGATGCAGCAACTTATCAGGTAGCCTTATTGTACAGTGTATATATGTATGTATGTATGTATGTATGTATAGTCATGTGAATAAGTAAGTATACCCCAGAGAAATTTGTTTCCTTTTCAACATATTTGAACAGGCAAACATTAGTCCTTTTAAACAAGGTCTACAGATAAAGGTAATATACTTTAACTTTGAAGATTAGTTAAACATTTTAATTTGAAAATCAGCAGGGACAGTACTTTTGACGAGTATCTGTGACAGGTCCAGCAGCTTGTATTAACCCACACAGATGTGATCTGGTGGTAGGAGAGGAATGACGGTTTCAACAAACATAGCAGTCCCCAGTGCAAGGGGCACTTTTCATTCAATGTAAGTACCATCCCTGGTGCCTATTAAAAAAAAAAAAATATATATATATATATATACATACAGTATGGAAATACTTATTTGATCCCCTGCATATTTTGTGAGTTTGCCCACTTACAAAAAAATTAAGGGTCTTTAATTTTTATCATAGGTGTATTTTAAATGCTAGAGTCTGCATATCAACCAAAAATCCAGAAAAACACCTGATACAAATGTTATAAATTGAGTTGCAGTTCAGTGAGCACAAGAAGTATTTGATCCCCTACCAACCAACAATAATTCTGGACTTCCACAGACTGGCTATGTGCTCATGTGGTACACAGATTAGTCCTGTCAATGTGAAGGTCCGGCAGCCATTTTTGTTTTTGGTCAGTGCTGCATTAACTCTGCATTACTGTTGCTTATATTTACGTTTTTCCATGGAATAAATACTACCTTTTCAATATTACTGCGCTATGGGCACCTCTTGTTTGGCTCCTTTATGGAACTATTGAATTACAGAGCCTGGCCCATATCAAGCAGCCAGAGGAGGGAATCCCTGTCACACAGGCTGCAGACCCATCCATCCTTAAAGGGGACCTCTGGATGAGCTGACCACTTACCCAGTCCAAAGGTTTTTCTGCTGTTCTGTTTAATACCCTGAAAGAGGATTACCACACGCTCGGCATATCCCGTTCCCTAGAGTGGACCTTGTTGGATATATTTATATGCGCATATTCAATGTGCATCTGGTGAGTGTGCAATTTCACTATACCTTCAAATGCACATCCTGCTTGCATTGTCCTTCCATCCAGGCTTGCATTTGCTGTGCAAACAAAAGCTGTGGTAAAAACACACCACGCTCAGCTCCCAAAAAAAGTCCTTGAACTTCTTTGGGATGTAGTGAATGCCCCCCCCCAAAAAAAAAAATACTATGTGATCCAAATCAGGACTTTGACTAGTCAAGTTCATAACACTCTATTTCTTCTTTTTGAGCCATTTCTTGGTGGATTTGACAGTGTGCGTTTGATCATTATCGTGTTGAAAAATAAATTAGTGGTTGAAGTTTACCTTTAGAGTAGATAGCCTCACATTCTCGTCAAGCACTCTTTGACATGGTGAATTCATAGTTTAATCAGTAACTGCAGGCTGCTCAGGCCTTAAAGCATTAAGCAACCCCAAACTAGAACATTTCTACCACCATGCTTCAAAGTTGGTATGAGAGGGTTCTTCTGAAATGCCAAACATATCCAGTGTTAAGGTAGCCAAGCAACTCTCTTTGATTCATCAGCCCAGAGCAAATTGTTCCAGAAGTCCTGGTCTTTTTCCCATATGTTAAACGGCAAACTGTAGTCCTTCTAATTGTTCTTTTTTTGTACAGCAAAGTTTGTTTCCTGGCACAGCTCCAATGCAGGTTAAATTGGTGAAATCTCTTTCTGATTGTATATTATGTGCTTTGACACCAACTATTTAATGAGTTACCCGCAAATCCTGTGATTAATGCCTCAGTTTGGGCAATGTATGTTGCAGTTTTCCATTGAAGCAAGATATACTCAATTAAGTTCTCCTTCTAGCTCCCTTATCACTGCTGTTTCTGGGGGCAGGTGACTGCTAATTCAGAATTGCAGATGCACCAAAGCCACCGGTCCCCTACAGACCCATTACACTGAAGTCATTCCTCTTCTGAATCATGAAAGGACCCTGCTGCTAGACAGCCAGTAGGAAGTGTTTACATCACACAGTCAGTGACATGGGCCCTCGAAAAAGGACCCCCTTGGAAGTAAATGGAAGAGGGAAGGCTTGGAACTTTGGTGTTGGGTGACAGCGGTCTTATGTTCTTTTTTGTATGTTTACAGTGAACAGTTGAGGGAGGGAGGGGCTAAAGCGGCGTTACACCCAAAAAGGGAAGTTCTGCTTTAAAGATTGGTCCCCCGCTCCCCATTAAGGATTGGCACCAAATTTTTCATGTACCTGCTCCCACTTCCGCTGCGATCGCCTAGGCGATCGGAAGTGGAAGTTGTCCTCCTACCCTCCCTCCCTGAAGTCTTGTGGGACACGTGACCGGCCCCAGAAGATAACGGGGCCATTCAGGAAGCGCAGCGCTACTTGCGCATGCGCAGTGGGCACCCGGCTGTGAAGCCGCAAGCTGTCACAGCCGGGTGCCGACACTGAAGATGCCGGCGCCTGGAATACAGGACGGCCAGTTTTTGTAGCTGCTGACTTATTTTTTTACAGAGTGAGTGGAAATCCGCTTTAACAGTATCCTGACTTTAATTTTGGAGTTATTGGAGACTTCTAGTGTCAGATGATCAGCTTTTGAACAGATGTTTGTTAATGTAGGCCACATATAGAATATTTTCCTTATACTACAATGATGCATTTCAAATAATTTTCCAGTCTTTTAAATCCCTTGACAGACACATACCCATCCACAACCTACTTCCTGAGAACCATAAGAAGCTCTTTTGATCTTGGCATGATGACGCCACACGTATCAATAGTGAAGAGAACACTAGACTATATATTTTAGATAAATTTACCTTTGGAACATATTATATGCTCCATCCGTATTTAGGGTGGAACATGTAACATGTTCCAGGTCTTGCCTCCTCTCCTCCTGATTTCCCGCCCACCCTTCTCGGGACAGTGGGCGTGCGGATCTTCCCACCGCATCCTCTGTCAGAATTTAAAGACCGTGCAGCCATGCAGGGCTTCATTAACAAGGCTGCCTTATTCATTCTTAGAGTTCTATGAATGAATGAACTACAAGTATCATCATCCATTGTGACTGACGACTTGCAGTTCTCAATGTAACTACAAGAGTTCTGGTGAGCGCTCTTATAGCTCATTGATTTTTCCTGCCAGTAACTGTGTGCTCATATGAGGTGACAATGAGAATAAATACACCATGTCAATTTTATTCATGTATAGCAGCTTGATCTACAGGCATTGTTTGATTGAAGACATTGTTGTCTGTTCACATATGTTGAAAAAGTCAACAATTGAGATGGGGTATTATACTTTATTGCATGACTGTGTGTAATAAAGTATATATATATATATATATTTATTTATTTATTTTTAGCCCTGAAGGAGGTGCAGTCTTGCAAAACATTTAGGACTCTCCTTGCTGTGTTTGACTTCTCAATGTGCTAACCAATTTTTACGTCTTATTGTGTTCATGCACTCTTATTTTGTTAAACTTCTGCTTGAGATAGATATTCCACTGACCCTCCTCTAAATATTCCACTGACCCTCCTCTAAATGAACAGCTGCTTGTTCTGAAAATGTTATACAGTCAGGCCCCATAAATATTGGGACATCAACATGATTCTAACATTTTTGGCTCTATACACCACCACAATGGATTTGAAATGAAACGAACAAGATGTGCTTTAACTGCAGACTGTCAGCTTTAATTTGAGGGTATTTACATCCAAATCAGGTGTGAACGGTGTAGGAATTACAACAGTTTGCATATGTGCCTCCTCACTTGTTAAGGGACCAAAAGTAATGGCACAGAATAATAATCATAAATCAAACTTTTACTTTTTAATACTTGGTTGCAAATCCTTTGCAGTCAATTACAGTCTGAAGTCTGGAACGCATAGACATCACCAGACGCTGGGTTTCATCCCTGGTGATGCTCTGCCAGGCCTCTACTGCAACTGTCTTCAGTTCCTGCTTGTTCTTGGGGCATTTTCCCTTCAGTTTTTTCTTCAGCAAATGAAATGCATGCTCAATCGGATTCAGGTCAGGTGATTGACTTGGCCATTGCATAACATTCCACTTATTTCCCTTAAAAAAACTCTTTGGTTGCTTTTGCAGTCTGCTTTGGGTCATTGTCCATCCGCACTGTGAAGCGGCGTCCGATGAGTTCTGAAGCATTTGGCTGAATATGAGCAGATAATATTGCCCGAAACACTTCAGAATTCATCCTGCTGCTTTTGTCAGCAGTCACATCATCAATAAATACAAGAGAACCAGTTCCATTGGCAGCCATACATGCCCACGCCATGACACTACCACCACCATGCTTCACTGATGAGGTGGTATGCTTAGGATCATGAGCAGTTCCTTTCCTTCTCCATACTCTTCTCTTCCCATCACTCTGGTACAAGTTGATCTTGGTCTCATCTGTCCATAGGATGTTGTTCCAGAACTGTGAAGGCTTTTTTAGATGTCGTTTGGCAAACTCTAATCTGGCCTTCCTGTTTTTGAGGCTCACCAATGGTTTACATCTTGTGGTGAACCCTCTGTATTCACTCTGGTGAAGTCTTCTGTTGATTGTTGACTTTGACACACATACACCTACCTCCTGGAGAGTGTTCTTGATCTGGCCAACTGTTGTGAAGGGTGTTTTCCTCACCAGGGAAAGAATTCTTCGGTCATCCACCACAGTTGTTTTCCGTGGTCTTCCGGTCTTTTGGTGTTGCTGAGCTCCCCAGTGTGCGTTCCTTCTTTTTAAGAATGTTCCAAACAGTTGTTTTGGCCACGCCTAATGTTTTTGCTATCTCTCTGATGGGTTTGTTTTGTTTTTTCAGCCAATGATGGCTTGCTTCACTGATAGTGACAGCTCTTTGGATCTCATCTTGAGAGTTGACAGCAACAGATTCCAAATGCAAATAGCACACTTGAAATGAACTCTGGACCTTTTATCTGCTCATTGTTATTGGGGATAATAAGGGAATAACACACACCTGGCCATGGAACAGCTGAGAAGCCAATTGTCCCATTACTTTTGGTCCCTTAACAAGTGGGAGGCACATATGCAAACTGTTGTAATTCCTACACCGTTCACCTGATTTGGATGTAAATACCCTCAAATTAAAGCTGACAGTCTGCAGTTAAAGCACATTTTGTTTGTTTCATTTCAAATCCATTGTGGTGGTTTTGTAGAGCCAAAAATGTTAGAATTGTGTCGATGTCCCAATATTTATGGACCTGACTGTAGGTCTTGCTGTCATGTTTACTTTCAATACTTTTGTGTCAGTGACTTTACAGAAGCATTTGTGAAAGGATTTCTTACTCCAGCTTCCCCATTCTGCATACTTTCTCTAGCTGGATATCACAGACGTAATAAAGCCAAAGGACCAGCTTAACGACCAAGCAGCAAAGATTTTCAGAAATAGGTTGGCAACAACAGCCCCCCATATTTCTCTCATGACAGGTGTACTTTAAGCAGTAATAACACATTGCTTTCTCTAAAGCATACTCTACCCTATGTTGAGAAGGAGAGAGATTATGGGACAATGTTGAAAGAGTTGTTCACTTTTAGTTTTATACATACAGAAGGATGGAGCAAGGGCCAAGGGAATAGCCTAATGGAATAAAGGGATTCTGGGTGCGGATCAGTAATCCCCAGATATGACACTACTGCTATTCCATTTTTTTGTATACCAATGGAAATCAATTGTAACAGCCACAAAACTTTACTGAGAAAAATTTAATACTGTTACTTACCCTGAATAAGCTATATTTTGCATTTATTTCTGATATTGATATTTGTATTCGCTTCTCCAGGTAACCTATCAACTTAAAATCCTTACTACTGCTCTGTTCTCAGTGTCGATGCTTCAGAGAAAGCTGACAAAATATCAGTGGCTTTCTTTGTTAATCCTAATGGCGGGAGTAACGCTAGTCCAGGTAAATACTTGATATGTTTAATCTTTTAATGTATGTTTTAGTCAACAAGGAAAGTATCCTACTGGTTTGTGGCATGTTTTACACCAGCTTCCTTTTTCTACATTTAGGGTCCATGCACACTGGCTTAAAAAAAAGCTGCATCTAGGAGAGTTTAGCATTTTGCCTATAGAAGCAGCTAAGGTTCTCCTATGGTGTCCATGCACATTAGGTCGTTTAGAGGCATATTTTAAGCTCTGCGTTTAGAGGCAGAAAAAAAACCTTCTGTTGGTTGGTTTTCAGTAAGAGTGTCATACATGTTGCCAAAATCGACAGCAGATTTTCACTAAATTTGTTCAGCACCTGTAAAGAATTTGAGGATAGGTGAAGTGTTGGTTAGTGCAATATGAAGTGACTTAACAGGAATATACAGTGGTTTTCTACATATTTTTCTCCCTTTCATTATGTTAAGGGTAAAAATATAAGTTTTTATTTTTTTTCTTTCAATCAAGTAGGTATGAAATATTGTCTAAGAATAGTATACTTTCATATGTACATATATATTAAGTGGAGCATTCATTTATTCCTATGTTTTTCTGCTTTCTTTTTAATCCTTGTTTCATCTTCAATCCTTGTTGTCGATATAAAATATTAAAACACAGCTCAATAGCTTAGGTGAAAATCATACATGACTGAAATATTTATTTCAGTTAGTTGTCCCCTTTTAACCAGTGTTCACTTTTACCTGATAGGGAATCACCGACTGTTAAGAAAAACGATAACCAGAATCATGGTTGTAGCCTCAACCATGATCCCCTGCATAACCACTTAAATCTTAGGCCATTTATAAACAGCTTAAAGACAGGAAGCGGTTAATGAAACCGTTTCAGCTGGAAACTGCAAGACTGAAATAAGGAAACTTCTGTTAAAGTAGAACAAAAGGTAAAACTTTTTTACATTTTGGATAAAATACTGGAGGGTATAACCCCTGTCAATTTTTTTTATGCCCATTGTATAGATTTCACTATCTGTACTATAGCCAGAGCAAGAAGTGAGAGGAATCCGTCTAAAGTGAGGGAAATCCCTAGTTGTCACCGCAACTAATGTCACCATTGAAATTCCCCCACCATTACTGTTTTGGGGACAGCCTAAAATTTGGGATTTTCTTTAATGTTCATCTTCAGTGATGATGGTAACCATGACAAATAGAGAGGGTGAATCTCCACAGACAGCAATAAAAGCTTGACAGGAGTTCTAATTCTGCCCCACTCGATGCAAACTAAACAAAACGTTTTGCCTCATTTAAATTCCCTTTAGAGATGCACTAAACTGCCAAAAGTATTGGGACGCACGCCTTTACACTCACATGAACTTTAATGGCATCCCAGTCTTAATCCATAGGATTCAGTATTGAGTTGGCCTACCCTTTGCAGCTATAACCGCTTCAACTCTTCTGGGAAGGCTGTCCACAAGGTTTAGGAGTCTGTCTATGGGATAGTCTGACCATTCTTCCAAAAGCACATTTGTGAGTCAGGCACTGATGTCAGATGACAAGGCCTGGCTCACAGTCTCCACTCTAATTCATCCCAATAGTGTTCTATCAGGTTGAAGTCAGGACTCTGTGCAGGCCAGTCAAGTTCCTCCACCCCAAACTTGCTCATCCATGTCTTTATGGACCTTGCTTTATGCACTGGTGCGCAGTCATGTTGGAACAGGAAGGGGCCATTCACAAACTGTTCCCACAAAGATGGGAGCATGAAATTGTCCAAAATGTCTTGGTATGCTGATGCCTTAAGAGTTCCCTTCACTGGACCTAAGGGGCCAAGCCCACCCCCTGAAAAGCAACCCCCCACCATCATCCCGCCCGCCACCCAAACTTTACACTTGGCACAATGCAGTCAAGCAAGTACCATTCTCCTGTCCAGACAAACCAGACACGTCCATAGGATTGCCAGACAGAGAAGTGTGATTTGTCACTCCAGAGAACACTCTAGAGTGCTCTAGAGTACAGTGGTGGCGTGCTTATACACCCCTGCATCCGATGCTTTGCATTGCACTTGGTGATGTAATGCTTGAATGCAGCTGCTCAGCCATGGAAACACATTCCATGAAGCTCTCTATGCACTGCTGTTGTGCTAATTTGAAGGCCACATGAAGTTTGGAGGTCTTTAGCTATTGACTCTGCAGACAGTTGGTGACTTCTACGCACTGTGTGCTTCAACAAAGGCTGACCCTGCTTTGTTATTTTAGATGGCCTACCACTTCATGGCTGAGTTGCCTGCATCTGATGATTTTATGGCATTTTATTCATTTACTACATGTGAGTGTATTATTGCTTCTTAATAAATGTTTATATTAGTACATACTGCACCATGGGAGTGTCCTTTGTTCCCTTTTAAGGATAGAAATGTGTGACCTCCATCACCCTTAAAGGGACCGATCCCTGGCTCTGGTTTGATAATCTATTGAAAGCTCAAAGGTGTTTGATTACTATCACATGGCTGTGGATTGAAAAAGTGAAGAACCCTTTTGACTATTTGATATCATAAAGCGCATTTCCATGTGCTCTGAGGATAGGAATGTATGACCTCCATCACCCTTAAAGGGACCATCCCTGGCTCTGGTTTGACAGTCTATTGAAAGCTCAAAGGTGTTTGATTACTATCACATGGCTGTGGATTGAAAAAGTGAAGAATCCTTTTACCTATTTGGTATCATAAAGCGCATTTCCATGTGCTCTGAGGTGAGAGTTCTGTGAGCACTGAGGTGGCAGTATATGTTATGTGCACTATTTATCTTGATGGTGTTTGGGATATCAGCACAAGAAGGAAACACATGAATTATGGAAGAATCTTTATTACAAATGTATTGATTTTACATATATGGACTCATTATGGACGTTTTATTCAGCTATGTCACTCTTTTATTTTTTTTGTAGCTATTATTTAGCAGCGCTACGTCACTTATTTATTTTTAATTTGAGTTGCTGTTGTTCCCAGTTGCTTCCACTTTGTTATAATACCACTAATAGTTGACCATTGAATATTTAGTAGCAAGGAAATTTCATGGATGGACTTATTGCACAGGTGGCAACCTATCACGGCACCACGCTTGAATTCACTGAGCTCCTGAGAGCGACCCATTCTTTCACAAATGTTTGTAGAAGTCTGCATACCTAGGTGCTTGATTTTATACACCTGTGGCCATGGAGGTGATTGGAACACCTGAATTCAATTATTTGGAGGGGTGTCCCAATATTTTTGGTAATATAGTGTATGCTAGTTAACTAGGAACTCCTTGTCATATATTAAATGTATAACAAAATATTGTGTGGAAAAATATCTACACTTCATTCAGTGCAATGTTGGGTGGTGCGCTGCACTGCCTCACACTGCAGTTCAGTTTAGGCCAGTGTGCTGCAATAAAATGCACCATGATTGTATTTTATTGCAGCATGCTGCAGCAAAGTGCTAGGCTGCGTTGCAGTGCAAATGGGACATAGGAAATCATTGTTTCCTGTGTGTTCCTGCGGTAACAGACGTTTTACTTTGTTGTAAAACATCTTTCACCACATATAGTGAAATTTTTTTTTGTCTTCTTTTTTTTTTTGTTAAGCAGTGGTTTAAAGAAGCCTCATAGAACCCATTGATCTCCCCTGTTGCACTGTTGTAGTCTGACAGTGGGAACCCGCCTTCACTGGTTTTCCAGCTTGACATTTCAACAGAAGCCGGTGATTAGATTAGCTTTTGTTTGAACATACACAGGGTACACACCTACTTAAATTTGTCCGGTTCCTGCTTAGCTGGCCGAATTCCAGTATGTGTATACCCAGCCTAACATTGGCGCCGAAAAAAAAAGTGCTTCGACAGTATTCAACTCCAAAGAGCAGCAACTACACAATTCTTCTCTAAAAAAAAAAAAAAAAAAGGTATAAATCATATGGATGACAACACTCCTGACTGAATGAATGCACAGAAAAAAGAAAGATTTTTAGGTAGGGTTTTACCAATGTACTATAAATGCTTGAACGGAGTCCTTTTGTTGGATAATGCCTTAAATGAGAATATTATAAACACCCATTATGTATATTTCGATAAAAATTTTCCAGTAGTCTGTGCACACATGCCTCTGAACTGTAAAATTATTGCATTCTTAGAGTTGAATTTGGAAAAATAAAAATTTGCATTTTGCAACACTTCAATCCTTAAATGTTCAGTTGTGTGCCTGGTACGGAAGAAGCACTCTTTCTTACCTAAGAGTGCTTCGGGTCATTGTCCATCTGCACTGTGAAGCGGCGTCCAATGAGTTCTGAAGCTTTTGGCTGAATATGAGCAGATGAGTTCTAATATTGCCCGAAACACTTCAGAATTCATCCTGCTGCTTTTGTCAGCAGTCACATCATCAATAAATACAAGAGAACCAGTTCCATTGGCAGCCATACATGCCCACGCCATGACACTACCACCACCATGCTTCACTGATGAGGTGGTATGCTTAGGATCATGAGCAGTTCCTTTCCTTCTCCATACTCTTCTCTTCCCATCACTCTGGTACAAGTTGATCTTGGTCTCATCTGTCCATAGGATGTTGTTCCAGAACTGTGAAGGCTTTTTTAGATGTCATTTGGCAAACTCTAATATGGCCTTCCTGTTTTTGAGGCTCACCAATGGTTTACATCTTGTGGTGAACCCTCTGTATTCACTCTGGTGAAGTCTTCTCTTGATTGTTGACTTTGACACACATACACCTACCTCCTGGAGAGTGTTTCTTGATCTGGCCAACTGTTGTGAAGGGTGTTTTCTTCACCAGGGAAAGAATTCTTCGGTCATCCACCACAGTTGTTTTCCATGGTCTTCGGGTCTTTTGGTGTTGCTGAGCTCCCCGGTGCGTTCCTTCTTTTTAAGAATGTTCCAAACAGTTGTTTTGGCCACACCTAATGTTTTTGCTATCTCTCTGATGGGTTTGTTTTGTTTTTTCAGCCTAATGATGGCTTGCTTCACTGATAGTGACAGCTCTTTGTATCTCATCTTGAGAGTTGACAGCAACAGATTCCAAATGCAAATAGCACACTTGAAATGAACTCTGGACCTTTTATCTGCTCATTGTAATTAGGATAATGAGGGAATAACACACACCTGGCCATGGAACAGCTGAGAAGCTAATTGTCCCATTACTTTTGGTCCCTTAACAAGTGGGAGGCACATATGCAAACTGTTGTAATTCCTACACCGTTCACCTGATTTGGATGTAAATACTCTCAAATTAAAGCTGACAGTCTGCAGTTAAAGCACATCTTATTCGTTTAATTTCAAATCCATTGTGGTGGTGTATAGAGCCAAAAATGTTAGAAGTTACTTTCATATCATATGGGGCAGCACAGTGGCTAAATGGTTAGCACTTCCGCCTGGCAGTACTAGGGTCGTTGGCTCGGATCCCAGCTACGGCACCACCTGCCTGGAGTTTGCATGTTCCCCCTTTGCCTGCGTGGGTTTCCTCTGGGTTCTCCGGTTTCCTCCCACACTCCAAAGACATGCTGGTAGGTGAATTGGTTCCTGTCTAAATTGGCCCTAGTATGTGTATGTATGAATGTGAGTTAGGGACCTTAGATTGTACACCCCTTGAGGGTTAGGGACTGATGTGAATGTACAATATATATGTAAAGCGCTGCGTAAATTGACGGCGCTATATAAGTACCTGAAATAAATAACGGACAGCTCTTAAAGCTTCTCTAAACCCAAAAAACAGAGTTAATATTTTTCAACTTCCCAATCCTTTGATAATATAGTTGCTATGTAGAAACCTGAATACTAAATTTTAAATGACTACAAATGTGCATGTGTATTAATGAAAGATTTACATTTTCACACTATTTAGCTTTACTTAACTTTGAATAAGTCTGACTCTTCAGCCTGAAAATTGATGGTACCTATCACCCGTTCCTCTTTTTTCTATAGGTATATGTTATTAATTATGCTCACAGTCGGGAGAGGATGTGTGAGGTCAGGCAGCTGACAGGGCAGCAACTGTCAAACTTAGAGTTCAAATTCAACCCATATTTATTTGCAATACACACCATCTGTCACATATGATGTATGATACATTGAAATAATTTATTGTAGAAATAATCCTATTAAAGGTATTTCCTTTCTGTGATTTTTCTTTTTCAGTGGCCAGCAGATGCCCCTAGTTCTCCTTCAAAAGAAGTATCTGTGGGTTCACGGTTTGTTGGGCTTATGGCTGTCCTCACTGCTTGCTTTTCAAGCGGGTTTGCTGGTGTCTACTTCGAAAAGATCCTTAAGGAGACTAAGCAGTCAGTGTGGATTAGGAATATACAGCTTGGTAAGTTCTCAGCAAATTTGAATGTTAAATATACACACATACATGTACAACTACCTACACACACCCAGCTTTCAGCTATAATAGCAGGGTTGTTGCTGGAGACAGTTCTGATCAGACAGTATGTATTCTGTATTGCTTAAACCTTTTGCTGCCAGAGCAATTTTTGAGTGTGGAGGGGGGGGGGGGGGGGTTGCACATATGTTTAAAAAAAATAATTTTAGGCCTGAAGATTAAGTAGAACGTCCAAAACATTATATATTTTTCTGAGAGCAGATATACCCTGAGGAATAAAATGGTGGCAGTTTACATTTTTTATGTTGCACAATATTAGCAGAATGTTTATCAAGCGCAAAATGTAAGCAAGAAATACCCTTAATTTAATTTTAGGGTGCACAAATGCAATATATTACTCAATTTATTGGTGAAAATAAAAAATGAGGTTTGCCCAAGTAAATACCCAATATGTCAAGACTTAAAATTGTGTGAACCTGTGAAGCAGCAACAAGCTTCCATAGGCGATGCTTTGAAAGCCTGTACAGTTCATCAGTTAGAGGTAACTATAAATAATGGGGGCAAATGTTCCCGGGGTGTGTGGAAGCGATTGGGCAGTTGTACAGCCAGCTGATCGCTTCCATCTTAGAGCTGACAGTCGGCTTGTCAGATTTGCACTTGTTAGAAGGTGGGAGTGTGTGCAACTCCCCCCCCCCCCCCCCCCCCTCCTTTTCCCGCTGTTGATGTATTACATATCAGTTGCAGTAGAAGGATTAAAGGGCAGACTCCATATAAACAGGGAGTTGTAGCTTAATAGGAATGTTTTCTAGTAATGTATTTATAAGAGTAATCAGTAGTGTAAGAGAAACAATATTATAGATTATATAATGAAAGTCTATGAATCGTCCAGGTTTCCCCATGTCTTCTGTTCTGAGATACTCTAGATTACCAGATGATGTTACAGATTGGGTGTCAGGTGGCTCAATATGCCCCTGTATAGACAGCCAGTACTTGATAGAAAAGGGTAACAAAAGTGATATTGTGTAAAGCCGCTATTTGCATGGCAGATGGGATGATGTAATAAGCCCAGTAGCTGATACTTTTTCGGTAATTTGTGATTAGACACCTTTACCTTTTGATACACTCTTGGGAACTAAAGTGGGTATAAAGGTTCATTTAATAACAACATCATACTTACCTGCTCTGTGCAAGGGTTTTGCACACAGCAGCCCTGATCTTCCTCCTTCTCGAGTTCCCCACGGGTGCTTCTGGCCCCTCCCCCCGCTGAGTGCCCCCAGACCAAGCTGCTTGCTCTGTGTGCATTCATGTGTACACACTCCCGAGCCGCCTCTGTGTGTCTATGGGACTCTGCTCCCTCCTCACTGACTGTGATTGACAGCAACGGGAGCCAATGGCAAGGAAAGACCCGGGAGAGCCTCAGCTCTCATGCACATTGCTGAATCGGGATTGGGCTCAGGTAAGTATTAGTGGGCGCTACAGGGGAAGCTGAAGGTAAAAAACCTTTAGCCTTAACAACCACTTTAACTTGGCTTCCTGAGCCAGTATAATAGTGCAGGAAACTGGAGCAAGTCCTGTGAGCCACATTAACAAAACTAATAGAACTGTTTAGATCTATCTGCGTCACCATTGCCAGTTTGGTGGTGGCCCTGCATTTTTCTAATGTTTAGGCTTTCCCTTTAAATTTCGCCCTGGTGATCCGGGCCAGTAATCACACCTCCTATGAAGAGTCCCCCTCGACTGTCTGCGCATGTGGTGAGAAGAAGCTGCTAATGCCTGAAACTGGCACATGCGCAGATGGGTCGAGGGGGGACAGATCCTCATAGGAGACAGATTTTCATGCTACACCGCAACGGCGGGGTTGAGAGGAACGCACGGAGCAAAGGTAAGTGAATTGACACAGGGGGGACTTGGGGACTTAAGCCAAACTCCAGAATTAATATGGGGGATGAATTACTAAGCATGAATTACTATATGGGGGATGAATTTAAAACAGAGCTACTATGGGGGAAATCTATGGTTTACTATATGGGGGATGAATTACTGATATGGGGGATGCAAATTACTATTGGGGGATGAATTACTATAGGATGAATTACTGATGCTTCATATGGGATCTTTACTATACTTACTATGGATGACACATACCATCATTCATCTACTCTTGGTCCGGCCCCCGGGTCCAATATATGAACCCATTGCAGCCCTCAAGTCAAAAATTTTGCCCACCCCTGGTTTAGATCTATCTGCGTCACCTTTGCCAGTTTCTCTTTCAGAGTGTAATAGAAACTATTGTTGCAGTCTTATATGTATCTTTCAGTTGTGTACTCAGCTTGTGATTGATCAGCCTTTCAAGTGGGGACTGAAAATCATTCTGTGTTGAAAAAAGGTAAATCACACTTGGTAACCAAAACGCTATAGCCGAATGATGGCTACAGCGCGGTTACCCATTTTTTTCTTTGAGAGGCTTTTCCTTTAAATTTCCTATGGTGACCTCCAGGAACATGCCCTCCTGTGCACCCCCACTGTGGGGGGCACGCATTTCTGGACAGCATTGACCTCCTGGGGGGCCATGGGGTGAAAAAGGATTTAAATACTGTACAATGACAAACTGAAGCCAAACTCCAGCTAACACTTTATAAGCAGTTACAGCATGGTTCTCAAACAGAGCTCCATGGAACTCTATGGTTTCTCTAGAGGTTCCTTGAGCAATGAGCAGTTTTTCTGCTGCTCAGATAAGTTCCCACTGATGTCATTGATCTTTTTAGCTATCTATAAGGGGGTCATTTTTTCCAATGACCACAAGTGTAAGGAGCATTCCTCCAAATGACCATTGTACTAATGTATCTTGAGTTGTAGATACAGCAGTTTTTCACAGGGGTTCCCGGGGACTGGAAGTTATTTCGAGGGTTTTCTCTGTGTTGAAAAGGTTAACCACTTGGTAACCACGCTATAGCCGAATGATGGCTACAGCGCGGTTACCCAGTTCAGGGCATCCTGCATGATGACCTCCAGGAACCAGTGCCCAGCAGTGCAGCCCCCAGTGCACGCCCTGGTGACCCCCAGCATGAGGTAAAAGGTCAATCACAGAGGCCTTTTCAGTGCTGCCAGCTGTTAATGGCACATCCTATCGGTGACTGTCAGTTGCTGCATATAAACTTGCCTCACGCCTCATCAGTGCCCATCAGTGCTGCCTATCCAGCTGTCACAGAGCAGATAGGCACTGATCATCAGTGCCCTATCAGTGCCTATCAGTGCCCATCAGTGCTGCCTTATCAGCACACATCAGTGAAGCAGAAAAAGTACATGTTTGCAAAATTTTATAATAGAAACAAAAAAAAAGTTTTGTTTTTTTTTTTCAATTTTTTGCACTTATTTTGTTTATAGTTCAAAAATAAAACACTAGTGGCGATTAAATACCACCAAGAAGAAAGCTCTGTTTGTGTGAAAAAAAATGATAAAAATTTAATATGGGTACAGTGTTGCATAACCGCGCAATTGTCATTCAAAGTGCGATAGCACTGAAAGCTGAAAATTGGCCTGGGCAGGAAGGGGGTATAAGTGTCCAGTATGCAAGTGGTTAAGAAAGGCTGAGTTACATTAACAGTTTTATTCCTTTTGTTATAAACGATTTTACATAATAAAATCTGACTATTATAAGCACCTCTGTCAATGTTAAATGGTTTGTCACAAGCTTCCTAACTGCTACATCTGAGGGACAGCCTGTTCTGTTCAAAAATAATAGACTTGCTAGCTGGATCACTTGGTGAATATAAAAGAAAGAAAGCCTTGGTAAAAGAAAACGAATGCAGTCATCAGATCTTAGAAGTGGTATGCTACAATACAGTAAATGTTTGCTTTTGGGTTTAATACTGCTGTAGGCCTCATGCACACTAACTCCCCACACTCTGCCACAAAACGCTCCTAAATATCTGTGTGTGCATGAACACATAGAATAACATGCAGTGGGGTTTAGTGGCAGTAAACAAACCCCTGACGCCCCTAGGAGCATCTGTAAAAACGTCCAGTGTGCATGACGCCTTAATATGCGATTGGATGCTGTCATGGGAACAGTGCGTTCTCCATGCTACTGCCTCCCTGAGTGGGTGTCAGTGATTGATGGCCTTTGAGTAGCATAAGCACAATATGAAAAACATTTGTAGTTAGTTTCTTTGTTAGATCAATTGAATTGCTTTATAATTTCTGAATGTTATGTTTGCCTCCTTTTTTATAGGTTTCTTTGGTGGGATATTTGGTCTGATGGGAGTATTTATTTATGATGGTGATCGTGTTTCAAAGGAAGGCTTCTTTCAGGGCTACAATAACTTGACCTGGACAGTTGTAGCCCTTCAGGTAGTAGATCACACGTCTGCTTCCTTTTATCATAGTAAACATCCAGCTATGTCACAGATCAGTGTACAGTGTATAAAACAGCAAATCCTCTTGGTGCAAATGTATATCCATGATTGACAATACACCAGAATACCCTAGTGACCAATCAAATTTCAGATTACTGCAGTAATAAATCATCAGTAGCTATGAAGTTCTCCACTTTCTATACTGTACCTTCTCATTGCTCCTTTCCATCCCTCCTTGAAATGGCCATCGTGTTAAACAGGACTATTCATTCTCAGAGCTCTGTGAATGAATGACACAGCCCCACCCACACAGCTGCGCCAATTTTAAAAGTGACAGCGACTGTGAGGGAGAACAGCTACTAGAAATCCTATCTTTTTGTAACTTCTTGTGTAGTGAACTGAAATCTCATACAAAGTTATCAACTTTTCAAGCTATCTTTTGTGATGTAATGGAGTTGTGGAGAGGGAGAGGTGTTTGTGGTCCAGATCAGCATCCTTGGGTGACATCTCTGCTCCATTGAATACAGTACAGTGAGTGAGAATTGTCACATTAGGACAGGAAGTGTGTTACAGGCAGGATTGCCAGGTAAAGATAAAGCGGGGGGGGGAAAAAAAGGATCAATACAGCCACCCCATCTAAGGATTGGTAAGCTGCACTATATTACATCTTTGGTTTGGGGCTTAAACACACTTTAGGCCTTATACCCACAGAGCTTAAACCTAAACACTCATAAAGGCTAGACACATCTGGCATTTGAGCGTTAATGCATTCTATTGGCCAGAATATGAGTTTGTTCTGGCCACTGGAATGCATTAATGCTGAAACACTAGATGCGCCTAAATGCATTGTGCAATATGGGGCTTTTTTTTTTTTTTTTTTTTTTTTTTTTAAGCACATTTTTCTTGCCAGGAGTTCTTGTATTCAGAGGGGCTTAAACAGACATATGTGTGCAAATGTATATAAGATTTTGTTTAGTCCATGCTCCTAGAGATCCATGGGCCTGATGATATATAAATGTCTTTTTTTTTTTCCCCTCTCCGTTTCTTCAGGCTCTGGGTGGTTTGGTCATTGCTGCTGTTATTAAATATGCTGACAACATCCTGAAGGGTTTTGCCACATCTCTCTCAATCATATTTTCAACACTAATTTCCTACTTTTGGCTTCAGGACTTTGTACCCACAAGGTATGGTCATGGCTGTGTTTTACAAATGTACATTGTGCTCTACTCTCTTTGGAAATCTAAATAAAATACAATTAAGTTAAAATGAAGAGGAGGAGTGGAAGCATGGAGCAGAAAAACCTGACCATGAGACCTGTCACTTATGTGACCAGCCTCTCTTTCAATCATGGAGTTCTCTCTGCAGCATTCAGCAGCAAGAATGCCATGATTGAAGGAGAAGTCAGTTTCATAATTGTAACAGGTTATGCGGGATATGACACTGTACTGTCCAGCAGATGGTAGTATTTGGTCTCTCTTTTAGGCTTCATTCACACTTCTGCAACTTCAAAATCGTTCTTGATTTTCATTGCAACTTTACAGGTCGACTAGATGGAGCTTTGACGCGACTTTGGATAAGTGAGACTTTGACTTTGACCAAGGATGATTGTTTGTGCTCTACAAAGTTGCACACAAGTCGCATGTATATCATTCAGGTGCAAATTTCATGTGACAGATGACAGTCGGACCAAAGTAGTGCAGAAACTACTTTCAAGTCATTTAGATATGAATGGTACTCATTGGGAAACATATGGTGCAACTTGTCATGCGACTTTGGGGGTCTAATGTCACATGTCAAATCGCACAAGTGTGAATGGGCTCTTAGGAACCTCAGAATTGTGTAACATCAGTTTTATTGAGCTTTATTACTGTGTATTGTAGGGAAGCCAGTTATGAGAGACATACACTATCTGTTATTGCTGACCTCTTGAAAACACCAATATCCTGCCAGTTTTCTGTTTTCTTTTTTTTACATATTCATGTGATCTGATAAGAATTGCTCAGTTCAGGAATCTAGGAAATTGTGATGTAGGATTCCTGTCATTCTTGGCAGATTGAACAAATCTAAATGCATATATTGAGGGTCAAAACATTTGTAGTTTGCCTATTTTATTAAATATATATTTTATATAGTTGCTACTAGTCAGAATGTTGTAAGTGTATTAAAGTCATGGGATCTACTTTGACATCCAGGCAAATTGCATTTTCAAAAGGCTGTCAGTCATAGCAAAGAGGCCGCTCTACGCCAGGTCAATGTTCCTAAAACAAACATTGTTGATATGACATTCTACTTGTGTATGGCCAGATTAAATTATACTGTAACCAAAGGGGAAAACTTTTTTTTTTTAAGCATTGGATAGCATTGAGAGGGATTAGCATTCCTGTCAGTTTTTATTGCTGTCTCTGTTCCTGTTAAGGACAGGAAGTGAATCTCCACAATGGAACACACGGCGACACAAAATCTGACAGGAGTTATAACTAGGGTTGCACCAGTCCCGGTATCTGTGCCGATGCTAAGCATTTGCACGAGTATTGGTACTTGTGCAAATGCTCCGATACCTGAAACCGATATCTTCAGGCTCGGTACTTCAGCTGTCCGTTTTTTTTTTAAAAGCCAGCAAAAACAACAAAACAAAAGTATCGGTACATGTACTCGCTACAAGAAAAAATGGTATTGGTGCATCCCTAGTTAAAACCCTCCCTTGCTCTCTCCAAAATGAAAATAAAGTTTTGCTTATAGTTCTACTTTAAATGTTAATAAACTGTTAAAACTGACTTATTAGAGTGCCGGTGACTTTTTATTGTATGATGTATTTTCAATATGTATTCAGTTCATCCTTCAGAAGGCAGGGATGTCTAAAGTGCATACCATTTAAAGGGTATTGGGGCTCATGCAGACAGTTGCATTGCTCCTTACAGTGTTAAAACAGTATGTATTTTGGTGTCCAAGAGCCCCAGGTGGTGGGTACAGCCACCGAAAGACATGGATTTTATGCCTTTACGCATGCACGCGGAGCACCAGGGGCTAATGGGAAACTTTCGCTGGCCTCATTCGCACCATACGTGCAATAGAACTGATGTAAAAAATTTGCAGATTTCACTAGCAAAAACACAGGTTTACCTTCGTTTTCCTGCACGTTTCAGTGAGTAGTTTTTTTTTTTTTTTTTCAGTGCATGTTTTTTTCTGCACAGATTCACACCATACCCTGTGTCATCACTTCCTCTTCTTTGTGGAGAGTGAAGAGGACACTTTGGACAGTTTATTGCTAGCATTATTGTAGAGCCCTCCTTTGCATCAGAGACCCCCTTTTGCACCAGTCCCACTCATCAGAGCCCCCACATCATCGGCCCCCCCATCATAGTTCCTTCATCAGAGCCCCCCCATCATAGTCCGCTTATCAGATCCACCCAACAGTTCCTTTCTGATCAGTGCGTAAATGAGGTTTTGGGGCTCATTCACATGGATGCTGTGGTTTGTACAGTGTGAATAATTAATTTTTTTTTATGTGGCTGGAGCTGTGTGCAGGCAGCCTATATTACACTATAGGGACACTGTGTTCGTAGAGCCGCTGTGTCCCCATAAAGTAACAGGCAGCTCCACCCATTCATTCACACTTTACGGGCCAGAGAACCTGTGTAAATGAGCCCTTAATTTTTTTTATTTAAATATTTATTTGGTATATTTTTTTTTTATTATGTACAATTTTTTTTTCACATTGCTTTTGTGGAAATATCTGATGTCTGAACAGACTCCTAATGTCTGCAGAATGAACGAGCAGGAGGCAGTCTGTACAGAAGATGCTGTTCATTCATAAACTGCAGCATAGTAAATGATGTTTAATATGCTTCAAAAATGAATGAACACAGTGAATGATCAGTGACAATTCATTTCAGGAAAGGAAGGAACCAGCAAATATGACATTTAGTGCGGGGGGGAGGGGGGGGTGAAGAGGGACATATGCTGGAACTGATCCACTGATCCCTGCAGAAACTGAAAGTCTCCCCGACTTTGTGTGGAGGTTTGCGGAAAACTGAAGACATGCTGCACCACACATCACACCAGCATTCCAAAAGCATTTATCTTAGTCTCACCACTCCAGAGTCCAGTAGTCTTATTCTTCTTAAGAATGGGCCCTGGGAAATTCTAGGCAGACATTTTTGTGCATGGGCTTTAGGAGATACTTCCTTCCTGGATGACACTCATGCATGCCAGGCTTTCTACTTCTTTAGCTAACTGCAGTGAACTTGCATGGCGATTTTCATCAACCCTTCTCATCAGAAGACGCTTCTGTCGAGGTGTTAACTTCCGTGGACAACCTGGACGTCTCTGAGAGATGGTTGCAGTTCCATCTTTGTTCAATTTTTGTATCATCTTTGCTAAGTAAAGCTTTGCTGATCTTCTGTTGTAGCCTTCACCTTACTTGTGTAAAGAAATTATTTTCTTTCTCAGGCCTTGCAACATTTCTCTGCCATGTGGTGCCATTGCTGACAGCATGAAATGGGAAGGGGTTTTCTTTGTTAAGTAACAGCCTTTTATTATTAAACTGTCTGCTGGACACCTGTTTAACAAGAATTCAACTACAGGGGAGTCTAATTATTCATTAATTAGGATTTTGTTGTCTAAAATTTAGCTTTGCTCTTAAGACATTCATTGGGGTGTATTCATTTTTACTACATGATCTTGAATTAATTTGTTAGAAAAAATGCTTATTTGTGTGCAAATTACCAAATCTTGTTTGCAATCAATGGCCCACATTTGTGGGAGTATTTTGTAGGATAGTACGCCACTGAAAATGTGGATTCTGAAAGGAAAGTATAGGTTTCCCAACACATCTGTTTGGGTGTACTCATTTATGCTGAGCACTGTATGTACAGTATATTTTTTTATGCTGTGATTTTTACCTCTTTTGAAGCTCAGCTGCTAGCAATATCACATCAACGTGCATGAATTATTTGTTAGAAAAAGATAGTTTATTCGGAGCCATGAAATGTTTACGATGGTTTTGTTAATTGGTCAGTTTGGTACAGATGTTGGTACTGACAAACGTGCATCTTTGCAAAAGAAGCTTTTATTAGTAGTGTTTACTGTAATGTTGAAGGCTTTTGGCCCTCTTTAACATGATTTTTTTTTTTCTTATCTAAGATGATAACACATTCTGATTTTCTTTTGAATAAATTCATTTAACTAAAAATGTTGCCTTTTTGTTTTCTCCTAGTGTGTTCTTCATTGGAGCAGTGTTTGTGATTTCAGCTACATTCTTGTATGGATACGACCCCAAGCCATCTGTGAATGCAAGTAAAGCATGAGGTGAAGGATACAGTTAAAGTATTGTGCTAGAGCGCCTCCTAGTGGCTGCAGAAGGACACTGCTGGATGAGGAGGTCAAACTAAGATATGCTGCTGAGAACTGACTGCAGGACAAAACACTGCTGCTCTTCTTTTTTTTTTTTTTTTTTGAAGGACCTTATATTATTTTATATAAAATAGGCGCTATATATTTTGTTAATACTTGAATTTCGAGGCACCATTTTTTTTTTTTTGTTTTTATTTTTATTTTTTTTGCTGCACATCCCTCCTGATCAGGTCTATAAAACTGCATTATCTTCTATGGAGAATGTTTAATCTGTACAAATGGATTTTTAATGTTGTGGTATTTGACCTGAGGTACCTACCTATGTCTGACCTCTATTAATTCAAAGGTGCAGCTTTAAACTAAGAGCCGAATAATGCTTCATGACAATTTTATACTGAAGATACGAATAATGAAGAACATATGATGTGTTTTGTATATAATTGAATGTTTCACTGTCTTTGCAAGTAGGAATGTTCCAGATTGTGTAAACTAAAACAAGGGAAATTAAAACATTTTACCAGATTTGGATTCTCATTTTGTGCTTCTTAGTACAGCTGGTCTGGTTATAGTGATGTGATAGACTTAAAGTGACTGTAAAGGCTAAAGATTTTTTTAACTTCATGCATTAAGGTAAAACGCCTTCTGTGCACCGCTCCTCCCACAGTTCCTACTAATACTCATCTGAACCCCCTCTTGATCCAGCAATGTGCACGGAAGACTTGGCTGTTCCGGGGTCTCTCCCTCCTCATTGGGTAAGACAATCACAGCCAGTGAGCTAATGAGGAGAGAGCTGGGTGATGGGAGTAAGGGCAGGCTTTGCCTCTGTGTCTTGTGGGACGCACAGAGCGGGCCTCAAGAGCGAGCAGGCACCATTGCTCCCATAGCAGGTGGCCTCCTATAGGGGGAGGAACCAAAAGCAGAGGACCCGAGAAGAGGAGGATAAGGGCTGCTCTGTACAAGACCATTGCATAGAGCAGGTAAGTGTAAAATGTTTATTTTTTTTTTAAATTATGCTTTAATATCACTTTTAAGCTCAACTCCAGGCACATGGACTGCACCCGCACTGTCAGGGAATCAAAAGATCGCTGCGGCGATCGAATCTGCACATGTGTAGAATCCTGACAAAACTTACAGGCAAGTGGGCACTAGGACCCAGGCGCGCCTGTCACCAACGACGGCATCGGGCAAACACTAGGACCCAGGAGTGCCTGTCAGGAGTTGGATGGGCTATTTAAACCCGGCTCTTGTAATGCTCAATTGCTGTATGGTCTTATCTGTGTTCCTGAGAGTAGATTGTTTGTTGCCGACCCTGCCTGACCCTGATTTGCTGTCCGTCTCCTGTTCTGATCCCTGGCTTTGTCTGACCATTCTCCTGCTTAACCCTGCACGTTCTGATCTCCTGTTGACGAACCCGGCTTGTGACCTGTTTATCCCTCTGCCTGCTGATTCTGTACTACACCGCCACCACTGTTACCGACCTGGCCTGCCCGACGCTGCTCTAGTTACCTCCTCACATCAGACTCTTACCCGCTATACACCTTCTACGGTGCCTCTACCACAGCTGGGTGAACCCAGGGGCCGCGACCTGGTCTCGGCCTGCTCCAAGTCCACCCCCACCATCAGGGGCCCTGGTGAATAAGCAGGTCAGAGCTTAGATTCCGCGCCTTGGGGGAATTCCGGTCTGTGGAGTGCTAGAGGCTACCGCGTTGGATTCCTGACACGCACTGCACAGGTGAACTGCTTGTTTTGTCTAGGGTGAGGAGAAATCTTATACTCACCTGATCCTTTGTTCCACCGAAAAATGGTGCTCCCCCATGGATTAGCAGTGGACTGTTCCTGATCTGTGGAGCCTGCTCTGGGCTTGATAAAATCAGGAGCAGTCCACAACTCAAGAGCGCTGGAGCACGGGTTTGTCGGACTGGTCTTGTGCTGGGAGGTCAGAGCTTTAGGTAAGTATCTCTCCTTTCTCTTCCCCCTCTAGGCACCTATGCAGTGTGGGCACAGCCCCACTGCATGGGAAGTTTTTTTTTTTTTTTTTTTTTTTTTTCGTTTTTTTTAATTTTAAGTTTTTATTTCGCTCTTTAGCATAGAGTACATTTTATAACATTAACAGTCCACCTGTCATGGCGGAACAATGGCAGTCATAATGTACACAAAGGTAAGAGCAATGAAAAGATCAACGTGTAACAAAACTGCGTCATGTTGTTCAGCTCTGGAATCATTAGACTACCAGTTACATGGAAAAGTATAATTGCAACCATAAGGCATAAATTCATACATAACATATTTTCTTGACCGCCCTATACCGGTACGTTTGCAGATGTCCGGCCCATGCAGGTTTAGGCCAAGAGAGTTTTTGTTCCGGATGAATTATATCTAGTTCTAGTCCTTACTGGGCCTGAACTTGAGTGACCCACGAGGACAGGAACAAGGCATAGTCTCGTGAGCATTGGAAGTCGTGTCAAAAAAAAACACATTCGCAAAATAGTTCTTCTTTTCGTTTTATAGCCGTTTGTTCCATATCCTTAATCTCGTTTACCACAGCTATCCATTGTCCAATCATTGGAGAGTTAGTTTGTTTCCATTTTGGTGGGATACATACTCTGACTCATTAAGTAAGTGGATCAAGGTGGATTTCTTGTACCAACATCTTCAGAGAGGGGTGAGGTTTAGAAGCAAAACTTCAGGGTGCATCTCAAGGAAGCAATCCGTGAGTCTTTGAATCAGCCGTTTGATAACTTTCCAGAAGGAGTGTAAGCAGGAAAAAAAAAATGTGCAATAGTGTGCCAGATTCTTGTTGACAGCTCCAACATAACAGAGAAACTTGGAAAGATCATATAATGTAGCGTTCGGGTCCTGTACCAGCAAGTCAGCAGTTCATAGCCTACCTCCTGGTATCTGCTGGACAGGGAAGACCGATGCGCAAAGTAGAGAACCCGGTCTCTCTGTGCGGGAGCCAAGGTTTGTCAATGTCCCTTTCCCACTTATAGAGGAATGGGGGAACGTAGTCCTCTGGAGGTTTGGAAATCAGAACATAAGAAAACCAGAGCATGTGACTCAAAGAGGAAGTTTGTGAACAGAGGAAATGACTTATCTGCATGGCACTCAACGACTCCAAAGGGGGGGAGATCATAGCTTGGATCTCGGATATGGAGCGCCATCTGCCTCCTGCCACAAAATGCTGAACATGGAAATGGTCACTAGAAAGACTTGGAATTTTTGTGTTCCTCTAATCCCAAGGTGAATTCCTGAGCCCCTAAACGATTTTTTTTTTTTTCCCTCAATGATGTACTTTAAAATACTTTTTTTTTTTTTACACTTTGAAGCATGTGGTGTACACTGTCCCCTTCCCCCCTCAGTAAACATCCTCTAGAATCTTTCAAATAGCAATTTAATGAAAGGCATTAAAACACAACTTCTATGAACAAAAAATACAAGCATGGCAGTCTCTTTATTGTAGAAGAGACCTAAAACAGAAACAGATTTACCTGACTGTTTACAATCTTTAGATTGTACACACTGAGCATATGCAGCTTAGTGTGCATTCTCAACACACATCATTGCTTGAATGAATGAGGAGTTATCTCATCCCACCTGGCCAGTCAAGATGTCAATTCTGCTTTAATATCTCCTGAGCTTAAATCAGCAAGGAAAAAAAAATAAATAACACGGCTTATATATACAGATTTTTACACATTTTTAAAAATCTGTTTCAAGAAAAGTTTCCAGAAAAGTAACTGCTAAAAGATTTAAAGAAGCATTATTGCGAAGAACCTATGCTCTAGAACTAACTACGCCACAAGAGATCTTTGAAAAGAACAGACTGCCATGAAACGTCTTAACAGCTTTTTTTTTTTCCGAAGTCACTGCCCACCACATTAAACAGAAAACATCCTCTAAAATCTTTCAAATTGTGTTTTAATTAAAGGTATTAATGGCTATTAGCTAGAATCAGCAAGAGAATTGAAGAAAAAATGCCAATAGCTTGATAAATAGTCAATTAGAAAGGATTTTAAAAAGCCCAAAAAATTTACGTAAGCATTTTTGCAGTGGAACACTAGTTCTCAAACTACACCATGGTTAACTGTAAACCAGGGGTCTCCGAACTTTCTAAACAAAGGGCCAGTTTACTGTCTTTCAGGTTTTTGGGGGGGGGCCGGACTGTGGTCATCGGAATCAGAAATTGTTCTGGCATCAGTGGGAGTAAACAATGCATCTTTGGTATTAGGGGGAGGAATAGCACCCCATCTTTGGTGTCACTGAGGAATAGTGCCCCATCATTGGTATCAGTGGGAGGAATAGTGCTCTATTGTTGGTGTCATTGGGAGGAATAGTGCCTTATCATTGGTGTCACTGGGAGGAATAGAGCCCCATCATTGGTGTCAGTGGAAGGAATAGTGCTCTATTGTTGGTGTCATTGGGAGGAATGGTGCTCCATGATTGGTGTCAGTGGGGGAATAGAGCCCCTTCATTGGTGTCATTGGGAGGAATGGTGCTCCATGATTGGTGTCAGTGGGGGAATAGAGCCCCTTCATTGGTGTCATTGGGAGGAATGGTGCTCCATGATTGGTGTCAGCGGGGAAATAGAGCCCCTTCATTGGTGTCAGTGGGAGGAATAGTGCCCCATTGATGGTGTCAGTGGGAGGAATAGTGCCCTATCATTGGTGTCAATGGGAGGAATAGTGCCTTATCATTGGTGTCACTGGGAGGAATAGAGCCCCATCATTGGTGTCACTGGGAGGAATAGAGCCCCATCATTGGTGTCACTGGGAGGAATAGAGCCCCATCATTGGTGTCAGTGGGAGGAATAGTGCCCCATCATTGGTGTCAGCGGAAGGAATAGTGCCTTATCATTGATCTCAGCGGGAGGAATAGTGCCCCATCATTGGTGTCAGTGGAAGGAATAGTGCCCCATCATTGATGTCAGTGGGAGGAATAGTGCCCCATTGATGTT